ACCAACCCTCGTCCTCTCACTTTGGTGGGAAAACAATGTCACGAGAAGGCAGTGATTATGACTTCATCAGCAGAGGCTATTCCAGACGCTTGGTCGTATGGGAGCATTTCGCGAGGTGCAAGAGAAGGGTGGCCAGCCGCAATCCTAGACACTCACCCTCGACCATACTGAAGCTTTTAGAGGCAAAGATATGGGATAATGAGCATATGTCCAAACAGAGTTTTTTTTCAAATGTGTACTTGTCGTAACTCCCTTTCACTGTTTACTGAGTGTGGATCTAACCCAAGGATACATGAATGTCCGTTACTTGGACAAATTTCTTTTTGTAATCGTTGGATCAGACATTAGGTCTCGTCCGCCTACTAAGGAGTAGCTGTCTTTGCATGCCGTGTGTCGGTCTTCTCAACCTGTTTTAACCTTCTTATCAAGTAGTTTGCCAATTATGGAATCCTTGGTGACAGATAGGTAAATAACGGAGATTAACCAGATGGAGGATACCCAACGACCGTCTACCCACGCTGAGCTACCTCTCCGTTAGATATCCAGCAGTATGCTTAACCTCGTGCAATGTGTCCCATGCAGGTCGGACTGGCAGAAGTTTTCACGGATAACGAAAACCGATCAAGTAAATGTAGTCACATTCAGTATGGCAACTGTCTGTACAGTCAACTGATTCAACACCTAGCTTCCTTTAACTAACCCCTCTCGCCCCTGCATAGGTCACTCCAGCGAACAACCGCGAGGACGTCCAGTTTACTGATGAAAACCCACACGAATAACCATCTGAAAAAAAAATTCGAAAGGCCCTACTTAACAGGTCTGTAGAAACTCCCACACGACACCGCCGTCACGCCACCACGTTGAATCTGCCCTACCCTACCTTATGGGTCAGATTCCTGAGTCAAAAGCTCCGATCAAGGTTCCGAAGAAAAACCCCTTCATCGGTTTTGCTTACCGTGAAGTGTGGCGTTCTCTTAAAGTCTTGGGCATCCATTAGGAAAACCCTCTTTCTCGTCTGTCTAGTTTTTTCTCACTCCCACCCCCCTACGAGACGCCTCGTGTTTCTGGCACTCATGGAAAGTTATTCGGTGCTCAATTAGGCCAACCAACCAGGTGAGTTGCAAGTGTATTGGAAATTCGAATTCAAACTGATCTCATAGTTACAACATGCCCCACCTAAAGATGAACCTCAGCCATGTCAACCGGCTGCGGCGCCGTGGTCACTCATTCACATTGTTGAAGGTATGTATTACCAGATAATGGATATTCTCACTGACCCGAATTCACTCCGATGCGTGCTATACTTACGTCTGCCGTGATAACAAACATCAGAAGATTAGTTGCCCATTTCGGCGTGCTGCAATTCCTGATTTTAGATAACGGCCAGTTTCAGTTTGTACAATCAATGCCCATGTGCCGGTTTTGGTTGCTGTCGTTTGGATGAACATGAGGAGAAAGACGGAAAGATTGAAAGTAGGATCGAAGAGAAAATTTAGAATTTCACTGCAATAATTTCGCAGAGAAATTAACAAGATACACGAACGCCAGTATTTATGCCACTCAGCCATATCACTCAGTGTCTGTAAACATCGGCTACGATCAACCCCAACCATGGAGCCTAACAGGATCTATGTAACACAGACTCATGAAAAGGGTTCTCAAACTCTCATACCAGGTCTTAGATAGACCACTCTTGACCTTATTCCACAAAATCTAATCTAATCGTGTCCAAACGATTAGATCGAGACACGATTAGAGCCAACCGCCTGCTGTTGTGTTCTCTCTAAATCAAGGGCTGACATATATAACGGTATGCTTTTCTGGATAGATTGAGTGCTGATGTAGCTTTGTTTGGCACGCGTTTTACACCCTTAAAGTGTGAAATATTGCTCCCTGACTGGATTTCTTCCGCCCCCTACCTTATGCTAATTGAGGACTCAGTAGAGAAAGTAGGCGAGTTTTGTTATTCGGGTTATATCTCAAGCCATAAACGGATCACGAATGTAATGTTGGCTCGCACACAGAAGGCTCGTTTTTTTCATTTGCAAACTTGAAACATTTCTAACTCCATCGCGACGACTGCGTGTGAATTTTGTTGTCAGTGAATATAACATTCTTACTTGGTACAATACACGATACCAATACTAAACTTTCCGGAACGTCCTACTTTGTACTGAAACCTTATTTGCTTAACTTTATCCACTTTGTTGCTGGTTGATACAGTGGTAACACCCGTTCTGTGCGATGGGTCCAGAGTTCAGATGCCGAGTGGGAGGGTGCATATGATGAACTTTATTAAGAGCGAAACTCGAATGTAGTGCTTCCGAGTGTATGGTTGACCGAAAGAGTTGAGGGATGTAAAGTTGACATTTACAGGATAGTCATTTGCGTCAATGAATATCAATTATCCCACAACACAACTCACAAGAAACTGCTCAAGTAAATGAGAGTCAATATCAATGAGAAATATCTTTCGAGAAGACAAATTAAAATTATCTAATGAATGCGCAAATTGAGTCGTTATGACAACGACGCGTCAGAGCTTTACGAACAAGATCCGATACGTGGAACATCGTGATATGGTGAAGCTTGCATGAATGGTACTGGTCTGATTGAATCCCTACTTTGTGAATCTTGGATGAAGCTTTCATTTTGGGGCGCTTAGGTTCCCATTGCTTCTGGTATTTTGATTTGAGCTTTTCGGAAATGTAACCATCCAGTAGCAGAATCTGAAGCTTTCGGGCAATCATTTTTTCTCATGAGATTGTTGGTATCGGCTGTGTTGTTCACTTTCAGTTTTCTCTCATCCAGCAAGTTTCGGTCCATTGACCTTGATCTTTCGAGTGTGATTCGTTCACCAGTTTGTTGACCCACACAGGGATGTGTTCGGCCTAGGTAGGTGGCCGTGCATCCACAGACGAATTGGTACAATTGATGAGATTTGGCATACCGCTAAAGCTGTTGTTTGACTGTCATATGTGTAGACGAAAACTGAGAGGAAGAACAAAAACCGTCTGACTGTCAGATGGATTTATGTTCGAATGAATAGTGAGCATGCGTCACGTACTAAACCACATAACAAGAGCCGCAGTTATAATATCATAAGAATTTAAGGTCAATCACACTGTCTCTTCAACTGCTGACCATTGACATCCCTAACATACTTTGAAATGAACTAGTTGCTATCTCTCGAAGTTCTCGCCTATTCGCTTATACTTGTTACTAGTTTTTCTTTAGATTACTGGTTGTCGTGTTTGATTTATTCGGTCCGCAGAACGTGCCCAAATAAGACATGTTGACATTAACGAGTTCTAAGTGAGCAGTGGAGGATTTGATTCAATTTCGAAGGTGAATTCGTCGTGTAGATAGCAAATGACGCGTGAACTGAAATGTTGAGAAGAACTGAGTAGCTGTTTCGACCTGGTTGGGTCTCATCATCAGCAGTGCGAATCCATCGAACCCGGAACCCCATGGGCGGAACACACGCATGCTACCCACTCGGCCACCGAGCATCTGATCAGACCGTTTTTCATTTTCCATTTCAAGTGAGTAATGGAGGATTTGATTCAATTTCAAAGGCGAGTTCGTCGAGTTCTGTTTGCTTTTTCCGTGTACAGTGCTTCCAGAATGGATCCTGTGATTCTCTAAATTTCTTTCCATTCCCGTCCCGCAGATCATCATCTGGGCGACTCCCAGTGGTCTTTGCTAGACTATCATTACCGCTCTCTGTTGGCCTCATTCATGACACATAGTCCCAGCTCCGATCCACGCGAACCAGCGACCGCCACTGACCTCGAATTACGCCCTCGAAATATTTGGTCTGGCCTCGGATTGGTGCTCCAGTGCTCCGTTTGTCGTGATCCGTTGTGTCCAACCCTGCCGCGTCCACTCACATTTCACGCGATCGCATCCACTTTGATATGCAAACCTCGACCTTTTCAGTCCCGTTGTGAACGTCACACGCTTTTACGGCGCAAGCATGGCCCGGTTGTTGGTACCGGCCCAACCTCTAGTTCCGGTCCCCCTGCCGAACGGGATTGTGCGGCTTGTCTCAGTTCTTCCAGTCCTCCGGTCTCTGTCCGCACACAAGATGCCGCAGTGCGTACGGTTCAATCGCAACCCCAGCCGCTTCCCAGTTCACCCCAGTCGGCCTGTTTGCATTTGCTCGCTTTCGCTTTACCATTGGTTCTAACCCTTATCGGGTTAACAGCAGCCGAGGTAGATCAAATGGAATTTTGTCATTGGTTTCTTACCTTGCCTAAAATCCCCCATGCTCCTTTCATGATCGTCTCTTTTGTGTGTCATTTTTTGTACGATCGATGTTCTCATTGTGATTTTTTATTGCCGTGTATATATTTTTTTGACAAGCGTTTCTCTCCCGGTTTATGTTCTATGTTGCAAAAGAAATATTAAATGCGGGCTCCGTGAGCCTCAAATCTCAGTGCGATCAGTTGCTTACTTAGCTGACAATCGGAGTCGTATTTATCCACTGTTCGATTGAAGTTCTATGCTAGTCTAACCCTTGTATGTTACCCATGCGACACAAATCGACACACAGGTGTACTCAGGGAAACTCATTATTTACTCTTTGGATGGTTGCGATTTATACCAAAATGTCTCATTTTGAACCTGTCATCGCAACTTCCGGCAGCGAACCGGATAATGAATGGAGCAGTCCTTAGTTATGATTTTGAACCCAGTAATTTGCTCTAAGAGGTCTTGTTCATTTTTGACCGTTGAAGGAAACCGTCAACCGCATCCTTTCACGTAATACTCACAAATGTGAATAGTAATAGTAGTAATAATAGCAGTGCGTGGAAACTACTCACAAAAGTGAGCATGACCCGCATCGGTAGTCTTTGTTGTTTTTGCCACACAGATTGTGTGCTCTTTCAGAAGTGATACACAATGTTTTATCATTATTCATCTAATGAGACCATGTGTGAAACTCTCTATATGTATAAATCAAGAATCTACTGCCGCAGTTCAACAAGCAATCCGCGAGTTATCTGTTTCATCCTGGGAAACCTGACAGATCCAGACTTGAAAAACATTTTATCTTTTGCCGCCAGTCGTTCCCACGAAGCTAGCTGCTAGAATGGTCTTCCTCCTAATTGATATCTCAGGACGTCTGTATAGTTAGCCACTGTTCTGTATGCTTTTCGTTTGGTACTCATCTGGTTGGAAACCGATTTGCTGAGGTCAGCAAAAATTTTACTTCACTCTACCACCCGCATGCAACTTATCTTTGAATACTTCAAACAGATTGATTGCACAATGATGAAAAATCTCTGCTCCCCATCCCCCTATCAATTTAGATTGACGGGGATGCCTTATCGGGGATCTGCTTTGTCGGTCGAATCAATATATGGGCCCGAGTTGGTCTCGTACTTGTTCCGTGCGCTGTTTGTTTGGTGATAAAATGTGTCTATCTCGGTCGCGTGATGCGGTCATGTATGCGTTTACGTCGTCCGTTCCTTCGGTCCCCGTTCCCGTCCGATCAAGAATTTGCTCAGCGTCTGGTCCGCTGCACGTACTCGTACGGTATGTCCACTTTTTTCATCCTATTGTCGTTATTGTCGTTTTTCACCAAATGCTACTCGTGCACCCTAGGAACAAACGGTGAAACTAAGAGAAAGGTGAAGAGTGAAGGAAAGATGATCACCGTCTTGGCACTCCTTTGGTCATATTGTATCTGCGACTTATTCCGGCGTGGGTAAAACGGTGCAATCAGTAACTTTTATTCACTGAGTTTGGGATGAAGAAGTGGAGACTCTGATTTGGTTTGTACTAGTACAGTTCCTTCGTTCATAACCAGTTAAATTTCGACACTTCAAATCAAATCATTGTTGCTGAAAACTGTCGAATTCGCGTCTGTTTCCCGACCACTATGGATTTTCTTGATTGATACCTTTATTGCATTAATTATTGCACTCAAGAACAGACGAATGTCACTAATTCACCAGCGAGCATCCTATTTTAAATAGTCATACTAATGTCCAATGGTGAACAATACATATTCGTCCGCATAAGCCTAAGCAATTTTGGGCGTTGACTTCAGGTTACATTTTTCGCTTTTCCAAAATTTGTGCAACGTAATCAATCCTTTGTAGGGAATAACTTGCTTTGAACACGCAATGTCCTGAACTCCAACTGGTGCCATTTAATCGCCTGTACAAACTTGATTACTAAGCGTGCATAGTAGACAACTGTCACCGCTGTCGTGTCATTAATCTCTGCCGTGCGAGCTCTAACTGGGATTAAAATGAATGCTATTCGCCATCTCTCTCTCGCGCGCGCATTCCTGCGCTCTCCCAGTGAGCGGGAGCATGGCTGTTTGCATCCTCTTTCAAGTCTTTATGCTTAATTTTATATGGTTGGCGCACATGATACTCACTCCAGTTGAAGGTTCGTTCTATTTCTGCCGCTCAGTCTCACAATGCATGCAAATTTGCCCATAAAAACGACAGCATTTCGAGTGAACTGTCTCGGAAGTTGGATTCTGGTGAATACCGTGGCAGTCAGTTTACATGGCGGATACGAA